TGCTCGGGGGGCGGTAGAGCCGTACCCGGATTTGCGATAAAGCGAAGCTCGAAGGACCAGGGGAGATGTGTAAAGTCTCCCCAAAGCGAAAGTTAAGTTAAGCAAATGCGACTCACCGTTCGTTGTGCCGTCGACTCCTGGAGGCTTCGTCTCGGTCGCGATCGGGCTCGTGCAGCAACGCAGGCAGGGCAGCAAGCAAGGCGAAAGCGAGGCAGGCAGCAGTAAGTTAAGGCAGGCAGCAAGCAAGCAGGAGGAAGCAGGTAGAGGTAGCACACAGACAGGCCGAGAAAGTAGGCGATCGCACTATCCGGGAGCGAGCGGATGATCTCGCGACTCCGAATATTAGCACAAGTCTCTCTGCTCCGATAATCTCTCCGTGCTCCGAGACGTCGTAACGATGAGACGTCGTAACGATGAGCCGGCGTAACGATGAGTGCCGAGAGCTCGCGGCGCTGGAACAGTGTCGCGAGCGAGTACTTGTTCTTCAGGCGGGTGCCCTCGTGGGGTGAGCGAGGGCAGCACCGATTGGTGAGTCGCGCAATTATCGATTCCGCGTTGATCGCGATCCGCCGACGTTTCGCGCGAGTCACCGAAATACTTAAGACTAGGTACGCAAGAATATTATGTACAACGAGTAACGAGACTAAACAATTAAGTATGATACATGCATCTATCTATAGTTTGGTGAGCGCCAAACAGGTAGATTCGGCAATACACCGCCTCGTTTCGCTGTCGGAAGTATCCGTTTTTTTGTTAGCATTTTTTTCTTCACCGTTTTCGATTTTTTCGTTTTCAAGCCCATTCCGAGCTTTGTCTTAGCCTTCATGGTCGCCCAGACGGCTGTAGCGGCAGCTCTCTCCCCGAGAGTCGAATCTCTCGCGGTAATGCGTTTTCGCGCTTCCGCAGCGAGTATCTCGTCCGCCGCGTGTCTCTCGGTGAGATCGCGGTTACGCGAATAGGCTATGTCGTGCTCGCGACACGCCGCGTCCAATGGATTAATACCTTGATCGCCTCTCGCCAATCGTTCTTGTAAACGAGTTCCCGGACCGCAAAATTGATAGCTGGGAATGTATAATTCGAACGGAAGTGCGTTTATCGCGCGATTTAACAGGCCTCCACCATTTTTTTTCGTTGACATTCGCCGCAATCCTTTATCATTGGCGCGGGACCGTCGATGTGCGTTCGCTGCCACGGTTGATTGTAATGTTCGTAGCAGCGACGATATGCTTGAACCTCCAAATCCGCCTTTATATGTTCCGGAAGCTTGTCCCACACGTAGTGGACGTGATCGCCGCTCGTTTGCAACAGAACGGCTTTCGGCACAAATTGCAGCTGTTCGGCGCTCAAGTCGCGAATATCGGAAGGTCTCGACAGTAGGACGAACATTTTTGCTACTGAGCGATTCGCGGTTCCGCTCGCCTATAAATAGGCGTTCGAGTCAGCCAGAAAGTCGGCAGTGTGGAAAAAAATGAGATTCGTGCGACAACCGTTGGCGATTCGCGTGACGAATTGCGACGACAGATCACGGTCGATGGGAGGCAACGTGGAGAAACGCAAGCACGGTACGATGTTACCGACTACTATACGCGCGATCATTTGCGGCCCCTCGAATTGCGGTAAAACCAACGTCTTGATAAGCTTGCTGGAAAGTCCACACGGCGTACGTTTCGAAAACGTGTACGTATACTCGAAATCGTTGCAACAGCCGAAATATCGATATTTGGAGAATTTGTTGACATCGATCGACGAAATCGGCTACTTTACGTTCTCCAATAACAGTGACGTCATTCCACCGAGCGACGCGCGTCCAAACTCGATCTTCGTCTTCGATGACGTAGCGTGCGATAAGCAAGACTCTGTGAGAGAGTATTTCTCAATGGGCAGGCACTCAAGCGTCGACTCCTTCTATCTCTGTCAGACGTACGCGAGAATACCTAAACATCTGATACGCGACAACGCGAATCTGCTGATCCTGTTCAAACAGGATGGTACCAATTTGAAACACGTGTACAACGATCACGTGAATACCGACATGTCGTACGATGAATTTTGCGCGTTGTGCCACGATTGTTGGCAACAAAAGTATGGATTCGTAGTGATAGACAAGGACAGCGCGCTTTCGAACGGTCGATACAGAAAAGGATTTAACGTGTTCGCGATACCGTAAAAGCGATCAGTCGTTGCCGATACCTCGTCGGAGGTGAAACGTTAGCGTTACAGAGAGAAATCGACACTCTGCTTTTTTTAAACTTTGACGCAAGGTCGCGCAAGATTCGTCGCGTAGCGCAACCTGAGATTGACGGTGACGCGGTTAACAAACTGTACGTTGATCAATTCTTTAAAATGTTGAGCAATCAACGAAAAGAATCAGACAAGAAGCTGACTGCGTTCGAGCAAGATGTGCAAGCGTTACGGACTGCGATAAACAAGCTTCGACGTGCGAATATCGTTGAATCAGACGCGACAACGAACAACAATGGACAAACGGTTCAACAGAAACGACTATCGAAAGGCGACGAGTGAAGAGAAGCAACGGTTCATTAACGACGGCAAGGAACAGCAACGAACGATTCGAGAACGGTTGTCGGACGGCTGTTCAACGGTTCGAGAACAGTTGTCGGACGGTTGTCGAACGGTTCAAAAACAGCTTAAAAACGATTACGAGCGGTTTAGAAACAGCTGCGAACTACGCGGAGACAGGAAAGGCTACAAACGGCTAGAGAACGTCGACGACGACGACGACGACGATGAGTGGTAGGAAGCAGTTAACTGACGACGACGAACGACAACGAACGATTCACGAATGGTTCAGAAGCGGTTACGAACTGTTCAGAAGCGGTTATGAACTGTTCAGAAACTGCTACGAACGATGCATTAGAAACAGAAACGGCGACAACGAAACATGAGACCGTTAAAATCGACCGATGCGGATAAAAATATCGAAAAGCGACGGCTGGTGGACGAATTGCACGCACCGGCGAGAAGAAATTTTCCCCGCAGACACGTCATAGTGCGAGGGTACGACGACCTGTGGCAAGCTGACATCGTCGAGATGCGTCCATACTCGCGTTTCAACGGAGGCTACCACTACATACTCACCGTCATCGATGTGTTGAGCAAGTACGCGTGGGCCGTGCCGCTCAAGGGTAAAGGCGGCAGCGAGACAGCTGATGCTATCGCTGAGATAATTCGACGTAGCGGGAGGTGCCCTAGTAATCTACAAACCGACATGGGGAAAAAATTTTACAACGCCGACGTGCAACGTCTCGTGAGAAAACACGACATCAATCATTATTCCACGTATTCGGTGTTGAAGGCGTCGGTCGTCGAGCGATTCAATCGTACGTTAAAGAACAACATGCGGAAGATGTTTACGCTCAACGGAAATTACAAGTGGGTCGACGCGTTGCCGCGACTCGTGTCGGATTACAACGCGCGCAAGCATCGAACCATCGGCATGCGACCCGTCGACGTTACCCCCGCGAAAGCCGAAAGACTCTTGGCTACGGTGTACAGCGCGATAAAGATCGCGGGTCCGGCAAAATTCAAAGTGGGTGACTCGGTGCGCGTTAGCAAATACAAAACAATTTTCGAGAAGGGCTACACACCGAATTGGACCACCGAGGTGTTTAAGATCGTTAAAGTGCAGCGTACCAATCCCGTTACCTATCTACTCGAGGACTATCGCGGAAAATCCGTCGCTGGGGCGTTCTACGAGCACGAGTTGCATCGCGCGACTTATCCGGACGTGTATCTCGTGGAGAAAGTACTGCGCAAGAGGGGTGATGAGGTTTACGTTAAATGGCTGGGATTTGATGGATCGCACAATTCATGGATACACAAGGACAATGTTATTTAATTCGTGCAAACTGTATTTTTATTCTTAACATAAAAATGCAATATGTAATACATGTAAAATGTTTGAAATATGAAATACATATAAAGTACGTAAAAAATATGAAATACACATGTGTCATATCTTTATTAATATTCATTCCAATACTGTAATATAATACTCACAATACGTTACGTTATATTATTACATACATATACTACTGCATACGTTATACTATTACATACATGCGTACATACATTCGTACGTTACAAAGGTATTCGGTAATGTCCCCACGGTAACGTATCGGTCGAATCTGGTATAACGTATCGCTTATCGTCGTACGGACTCAGAGCGATTTTTGTTTCGGACACGGTGTGCACCTCGTGCAACTTCGATCGTATACAGGATTGCCGTCGCGTCATTTCAATTTCGTCTCGCAGACATCTCGTGTAATCGTCGAACGTTATAGTACGCGCTATGACGTTGCTCTTGACACCTTTCGCTTTTTTACAGTCTTTCTTACCATCCACTCTCAACGCGTACATCTTCGCCCTGAGTCCAACAAATTCGGTCATGATCGCACTGTTATTCTCGTCCTTCATCAAGCCCGGCATTTTTTTGTTCTCGAGCTTTATACCGTACGCGTTGTCGATCGCGTAATCGCTCGTGTCGAATCTAACGATATCGCGTTTCACGTTCTCGTACACATCCTCGCACTCGATGTGGTATATAAGGCTGTCCGTATCGGTGTACATAATTCTACACATGTCACCATACAGGGGAGACATGTACTCGTGATGAAATTCGTACAAACAGACTTTCGATATGTCGAGAATGCACATGCCGACGTAAATAGGTTTGTCAAATTTAACCTCGAGTTTTCGCAGTTCAACGGCTATCAGATTTTCCGAAAACACGCTCCTGCTATGAAAATTTGGTTTCGAGATCAGTGCCTCCGCGTTGCATCTACCTTTCCACTTTGTCAGTAATTTTACATCGACGTGATTGCGAACATTTTCCATCGTTTTCCCGAAAACCGCGTTGTTCATCAATTTATATAAATTTTTCTCAAAATCGTTCTTGGCCAGTGTTCTAAATTTCGTATTGAGCTCGATGTAAGTGCGGAGCCACGTAGATTGAGTGAATTGCAATACGCGATGTATCTTTGTGACCCGAATGCCGTGTTGCGTGCACTGCTGTAGGTTGCGATAATGGATGACGTAACGCTTCTTATCGTACAGCGTGGCGAGAAGTTTGTCCTGTCGTTTGCCGGGCGGTTTGTCGCGCGTCGGACAGAACGGTAGGTCAGCGTGCGCGTCGTGTATATTCTGCGGATACTCTAGATCGACCTCAAGAATATAACCCGTGGGCGAATTCGAAGCGATCGCGCTAAAGTCGAAATTCGAAACGTCTTCGACCCATCGAAACTCCGCGTAGGGCAGTGGCTCACACATCGTCCAGCCGTACAAGTTGTTTACATCGAAGTACATCAAATACGACGACGGTTTCGATGAATCGTACGACTGCATGTACTCGTTGTTGGCCCGCGCGTATCTGCCGGAACATTGACTCAGACCACCGCGTATACCGCGTTCAATGAACATAACCATGTCAATGTCGGTGAGCAGTTCGAAATTTACGCGAGTATGCTTCAACATGGCGTCCCATGTGAAACCTGGCAAAGTATAGTAGTACGCGGGATCGAGTCCGTAACTCGCTATACAACTGTCGCGGAAATTTTCAAAAACGTCAGCCAATAACAAGACATCGGTCTTTAGATACAGATCGCTGTATTCGCCCAAGGTTCGAACAGAGAACCGTCGCCAGACGTTAGCGGCGTGCTCGTAATCGCTCTCGGATACGGTGTCACCGGTCAAGGAACTGTAAAACGATTCGCGCGGTGGTAAACACGTGTCCTCCAGTTTGTCCACACAATCCACGTATTCGCACGGAAATACGCCTTTTCGCGTCAAAATATCAAAATCCTCGGTCGATAATTGTAAAAATTGAGAACGTACAATTTTTAACTTATCTCTGCATAGAAAAGATGCTAATTTATCGAGGCTGCTACTCAAAAATTTATACGAATCGATAAACCGTAATTTTATGTCGCTTCGCGAATCTGATTTTTCTGCGGTATCTTTAACGTGTTTCGTGAATGAAATGTATTTTTCTTTTGTGATTGGAAGTAAGTCTACGTGTCCTTCGTACGCTGTAGCTATTTCCTTGATAATAAAATGCGCGTCGTAACCCGATAAATTATGAAAAATTATTGGAATGTAATGCGAATCTGTGTAATTTAGATTACAGTTGGAATGCGCGGGACCTCTATAACGACCGGTCAGATGACAATGATCGCGTACTCGCACGTCGTCTGGCTCGAACGGTTTTTCGCAAATGTGGCAATGCGTCGCGCTGTGAAATATCTCCCGCTCGTCTCGCGTTAATTCCGTCATGCAAACATTACCGGATAAGATACTCTTTACGTCGTGTGCTAAACGTCTTAGTTCCTCGACGAACCACGCGACGCAATCCTTATCGCGACGAAATTGATACGCGGATAACGAGTCGTCGTACGAGCACCGCACGTAATATCCTACGCTAAATACCCGATGATGTTGAGACGTGTATGTGGACGTTGTCGAATCCGCATCCGTCTTCTCGAGGGTACATTTCAGGTCGGCGTACACGACGAACGGAACTCGTTCCTTCCTGCTGTGATTCTTAAAACTCAGCCACTTGTCGTCCTCGCTCGGTAGTCGGATCGCACAGTTGTTTATCTCTCGGCAGTCTACTCCGTGGGCTTCCAATTTCTCGCTCGATCTAAAATAATGTAAACAACTGCAAAAGAAAAACACATTTTTTTTTAATTTTTTATATTAAAAATACTTTTATAATTTTATTAAAAAGGAGTATAAGTACTCACCGATCGCAAAAGTATTTCCGACCATTGTGCCTGCTCAATTGCGAGCTAACGAGACGCGATAGATTTTTTATCCACGCGAAATGCCCCACGTTGTTGTCTCGCGGGTCCTGCACGTACAGCAAATTGACGTGCTTTTCTCTCTTCAGGTCGGTGAGCTGTATCGGGAGAACGGTTGGCGTCTTCTCTCTCTCGATGGTATACACATTGATGGATATATCGTTGAGTCGTTCGAACTTTTTAATCTGTTTCAAAATCATTGGAAACTCAATGCCTTGTAAATTTAATACTGTTGTGTAATGTCGGTACGAGGATTCCCGTTCTGAATGTCTTTCAACTGGATGTAAAGCAGCCACCACTGACCACGCGAAGCATGCATTGTCCATAGAATGCACGTTGATCACCGCTTTCTTCGATTTAATTTCTTGCGGTAAATTGATGTAACATCCCGCGTGCAAAGGATTGTATTTGTTCACGTTCACAGTCAGATTGAGTATACGCGACAACGCCCACCCGGTGTCGCGTTCCTGAATCTCTTCGAGACGCGATAAAGTAGACTCGATAACGTGTCGCTCGTACCACTCGCGCAGATCGGACGCACGAAAGAGTTCATAGTTTCCCGTGCCGACACTTTTGTTCGCACGTTTGTCACCCGTCACAAACTCGCCGTTGAACACAGTGTTTATCTTTACACTTGCGTGTCTTTGCATGACGTTCCGCACACGATCGAGCACGATGACTTCAGCGTCTTCGAGAAATTTTCGCGGTTCGATGTAATTGATATTTATCACCGCACCGGTCGATACACGGTTTTCGAACGCGGCATCGATCTCTCGCCAAACGAGTCTTTCCGCGTTATCGTCACTACTAGCGGCGCCCGCCGCGTACTCACCACCGATATGTACGAACCGTCTCTGTAATAGAGTCTTCGCACCTTCGAGTCGCGCGATTCTTGCCACTAAAGATTGTCTGTTTACGCGGCTCTCATCTGTGATTGAGAGCCGCGGACGATTGGAACAACAGTCTTCTTCGAGCTGCTCAATAAATTCCTCGCATCGCCGTGTCCATGTAAAATATTCGTCCAAGGTAGCGATTTGGTTGGATTGTTTCAACAGGTTGCGTTCCGTTTCATCGTGATGTTCCATGTTTTGTTTTTAATACTGTCTTTTTTAGATCACGTCACATTCTTCGATGGAGCACTTGCACGTGACTCGATCGCACGCTGAACAGTATCGTTTGCCACTTTAAATGCGATAGTGGTCAAACATAAAAAAATAAGGCAAGAAGTAAGGGACATTAATCATCCAATTATTACTATCATCAATGTCACGTTCATAGGTTTTTTGAAGCATCAATGGATGATTAGGATTATTGAAACGGTGAGGGTACATATACAAACGTATCGAATTGTTCATCACCACCAATTCGACGTATTTCCCAATACCTGTATGAATCTTAATGTATGTTGCTTCACAATCATAGAGCTGTTCACAAAATTTAGACGCCCAATAGCGATAGTCAACAATAGGCACAACGTCAGTACAGCGAGCTGCACGTGATTCTTCCTCGCTAACGCACTCGTCCCGCAGCCGTCGATACACTTTTCGTCTCATGTTAGAATCCCAGTCATAAGGAGAAGAGGCATCGATAACGACTCTTTGTCTAGCGAAGCGTTGACCGGTTCCGCGTATACCGAGTTCGCGATCGCGAAGAAACTGCACCGGCGATATTCGTCGCACATCCCTTAATTTCACTCCTTGATCTTCTTCACGCAAACCATTGATGATATCTGTTGTAATACATTCCATTTGTATTTCATCCCAAGATTTTGGAGGCTCCACAGATTTCTCTTCAATTATCCGCACGTGTTCTGTCATGTTGCGCACGTTGTGTATAATGTCCCACTCGCGATAATGTTTTTTTTTTATCACTTCATGCAAGTCGGGCACATGTTGCACGGATATATTTGGAACAATGGAGTATTACGACAATCTGTACAAAATTGAACGTTCATTACCTTGTACGGTTCGGTTACATGCTCTCGATATTTACGTATGTGTTCACCAGTGTCTGGTGCAGCGATCATACACGAATAACACAGGTTATCTGAACCATATTCAAAATAAAAATAAATTGCGCAACATTTCGTACGTCCATCTAACGCTAAAAATTCGGGACGCGACACTATTTTTTTCATAACTTCTCTACGGTTATCGTCTCCATCGCTGTTATAAGTGCTGTCCGGTGACAACGGACGATCCTCGTTGGATGAATCTGCATCCATTATTGCTTCGAAATTATTGTTTTAAAAGCCGCGATAATATTTTTTTATCGTGTACAAATCGGGCACATATTACGCGGAAATATCATATACAATGATTCACGACATCTTGAACAATACCGGCCATGCGTCGTTCCGCGTCTCTCAACGAAGTGTTTTAGGCGAGCGTACATGCCGAAATTAAGGTCCCATAGAGTAACCATGCATGGAGCACATAGTGCAAGTGCACCACCCGTTGAATAATAAAAATAAATTACACAATGTCTCACACGTAGATTTAGTTCAACGATTTCCCAACGCAGCACTATTCTATCGATGACTTCTTCATGATTGTCGTCTTCGTCACTAAAATAGTCGCTGTCGTCCGTTAACTCGCGATCCATATCTGAATTATTGCCATCTCCTTTATCGTGAAAAATATTCTTCTGTATTGAATACTTGACACAAAAAAACTTTACCCGCAAATATGAACGTTCGCGTCGCGAAAGCTAGCCGAAGACTGTGATCCGCAAGATGTGGATCCATAATCATCCTGGCGACAATGGATGTTATGCGTTTGTATAATTATCGTTAGACATATTTTGTTTATACATTCCAGCAGCCGGATATCGGCGCTCGCTTTTTGTAATATGCCGCGCCATAACCGAATACCGCCGCGACGGTTAAATCGTAATCTGCAGCGGCTTTTTCTAGAAAAAACATGAAGAGGACTCCGCAACGGTTGAATCGTCATCGGTGACAAATTTTATCAATTGTTTGCCTCGGCTATTTTATCTTTAAACCGTCGTCGGACCATCGGCGCTTGCTTTTGTAGTGTGTGAGACGCCGTAACCGAATGGCGGCTCGCATGTTCTAGAAGGGTGAGATCATTGCAGAGACAAGTGTCTAACTCGCTATTTTGTTTACAGTCGCAAATCTGTGCATCGACGCGATGTTCCATCTATCGAGTAGAATTGTTTTTTAGTGCGCTACCGTAGTATGTAAAAACAAAAAATATGTAAAAGAAGAATAAAAAATGTATTTTTTTTAATATAAATCACGACTTAATTTCTTCACATGCATTTCCATTCGAGTCGTATATGCGACGTTCGACTCGAACCACTCAGGCCACTTGAAATTTAAGGTATCGTATATCGTAACCTATGAAGCGATGCTCCGGCGACGCTCGCCTATTCGTATATCGTAAACTATGAAGCGCTCGCCTTTGTAGCGTGAGACTTTGCTGGAAGCGACTATCAGTTTACACGACCGCCATTATATTTTTCTCTGGCGACTTCAGTCTCATCGTAGCCGTGAGCCTGCTTGAACGTGTTTCGCCCGAAAATATTTTTTTCGAGGATTAGTGACGCCTTTGTGATTGTTTTTTTTTACTTTCTTGTTTGTGATGTCTCCAAACCTTCCCCGTATCAGGCTAAATACGTAAAATTAAGTGAAATTGTGGGAAATGCCGAAAATTTAAATGATTTTAATTTTAATTTTAACGACTTTGATAATTTTAATTTTAACTTTGATGATTTTAATTTTAACAACTTTGTCGCTGTTCTCCCGCGTCTCCCGCGTCTCCCGCGTCTCCCGCGTAGCCCGCGGACGAACGGTGGTGGACGCGGGCTGATCCCGCGCGGGCGGCCAGTACTAAACATTAATATCGCGGAATTTTTTGATTCTGATTTTGACATTGATAACTTTGAATCTGATAGTGATAGTGAGATTCAGGAGGCAAGGTCCACCGCTCCCCCGCGTCAGCCACCCGCGCCCCGGCTCCCAACAGTTCAGGTGGGCACGCCACCCGGTGTTTCACGCGGGCAAGCGCTGCGGAACGCTCTCAACCTCCCGGCCATCGGACGCGGGCGGGCACAACCCGCGCCCCGGCTCCCAACAGTTCAAGTGGGCACGCCACCCGGTGTTTCACGCGGGCGAGCGCTGCGGAACGCTCTCGGCCTCTCGGCCATCGGACGCGGGCGGGAACAAATTTACGCCGACTCCCTCGCGTTGAGACGGATGCCGGCGAGTCGCGGCCATGGGGCCCCCCCTCGAGATTGAGGTATTTTCTTTTTTGTTTCTTTTTTGTTTTTTTTTTACCTAAAAATTAATAACGTGGGAGCGAGAGAGAGAGACCGCGCTGAGGGAAAGACAACGCGAACGAGACGCGGGCGAGCCGTGTGACGTCACGCGGACCGACGTGGCCGTTGGACGCGGACCCCCATCCTCCTGCGGCGCGCCGCCGATAAAATTCCAGCAGCCGAACGGCGCCCATCGCCTTTGTATACCCCGCGCCGATAAAGTGACGACCCCCCTTCCCCTCTCCGGACCACCCTCGGCGTAGAACGCGGACACCCCCCCCTCGGCGGTATCCTTGTCAACGATATGTTTATTAACATTTAATAAACATGTCCCGACATGCTCGCCGACCACCCTCCCCCCTCCCCGCGGACCACCCGCACCCTCGAGTCCCACCCCCTCCCCGCGGACACCCTCGCCCTCGAGTCCCCGCTCCCCCCTTGCCCGCGGTACCCCCCGCCCCGCTCCCCCCTCGGAGCTCCCGGGGTAGATCTCTCAAAATAACTCCTACTAATAACTCTGGAAGAGAAGAATTCTCGTTAACGTCCTACGACAGTAGCGTGTTTGATCCGGAAAAAGAGGATTTTACTCCCAAAGCCGGAAAAATGAGCCAGCAAGGAAGAGCGGCTCAAGTTAATGTACCCTGCGACAAGATTCAGGATATGCCGGTGACACCCGAGCAAGTCGATGCAGAAATAGTACGACTTAGGTCTACTGTAAACAGACGACCGCAACTGACCAAAGCCGAACCCCGGAGCCGGCTAGAGCATGTCCAGAAGCATAAAACTCCATGCTCGACGAAATCTTAAACGCGTTCGTGATGTATAGGATTGCGTAAATCGAATAGAGGCCGCAACTTTTGAACGCTCAAACGACAGAGTCCGACGCGTACGTAGTAATGGTCCATTAGACATTACATACGGGCAAACGCTTGGCGACGTCCGAAATCAACCGGGATAACGCAACGGGCTCCTCAGCTTGAAGGAAGCTCGAAACATAAAATTCGAGATAAACGGAGATTCCCGTGAGCGCGTTCGCGAATTTTTAAACGCAAATAATTACGCGATAAAAAACATTCAGCCCGCGAACGAATGCTTTTAGAGGCCATTTTATGCACGAAATTTAAAGAAAAGTCCATAATATATTTTAACACGCGCGACATTCATGATTTTGAACAATTAAAACGTAAACCAGAAACAGAATATCTAGAAAAGCGCAGCATGACCCATCTGCAACTAGAATTTAACTCCCTGAAGCAAAAAACAAGAGAAAGCGCGCAGGAATTCGGGCAATGCGTAGAAAAGCTAGCTAGAGAATTATACGAGGCCATGGAGGAAGGCCAAGGGCATTCTCAAGAACAGCAAAAAGCGATCCTCGACAGTATAAAGGTGAAAGCTCTCTATAATTACCAAATAGAGCTGCACGAGGACATTAAAATGTTAGTCTGAGCACAGCGATACAGAACTTTGCAGGAAGCAATAACCGTCGCCAGTGCGGAAGAAAAAGTAAAAAGCCCCTCTCCGCGGAACGGACAGCCGACAAACAAAAATAAATTTAATACGGAACGAGCGCAATATTCGCAAAACGCGACAATACAGTGCCACAAATGTAAAGAAACAGGCCATTACGGGCAAAAATGCCGTACGAGCCGACACGCAAATAGATTCTCGTTGCCGAAAGCGGATAAGCTCAGCATAATAAATACACTCGTGTGCACCTATTGCAAAAGGACCGGGCATAAACGAAAAGAATGTTGGTCGCTGAACGGACGACCCAACACGGAACGACCAAGCTGATCGAAAACGG